CAGACAGACAGACAGACATAATTGATTTAGAACGAATTAGGAAAACTGAAGTTTTTTATACTTGAGCTTTTCTTGAGATTTTACAGGCATGATTGCGTCCTTTTTCATGTCATTTTTTCATCCCATTCAAGCCATTTTGCCTGAAGTAAATAAATTTTTCACATAAGCCAAATTTTAAGTAGTACATGTATTGATGGTTTCTAGCCTTGCACTTAAATCTCAACATAATATCTATTCTGAACATCATCAGTCCTCCAGTTAAAAATAAAATATTGAAAGACATTTTTTGTTTTGATATAAATAGCTTCAAAAATAGTGTAATGGAAAGAAAATATGTTGAAAACGGGCAAATTATCTATCTATGATAAGCTATAATGCATAATTAGTTAAAAATCCATTTTTTAGTCTTGAGTCGTTAATTTTGACCTTTTCTGAGGTTTGGACTTTTGAGGTCAACAAAATTTCGCATGCGGCGCGCCCCCTCTTTGCCTACAATAATTTTGAAGTAGAATGAACGCTATAAACAAAAACTTTAAATTTTTGTTGAAATAGCCATCTCTATTTTTAAATTGGGTTTATTGCCCTGAAGTTAGAAAATGACGCTGCATAATTTTCATTATTGCGCTTGAGTGCAGTCATGTGGTTCTACAGAAGAAATGATAAGAAATCTCAAGAAACTACAGTGATAACCAGAAAACTGTGGAATAGGAGGACGACTTTTACACTTGAATTATATCTTTAGAGAGTCCAATGAGCACGGGAAGCAGAAATTATTCAGTGTAAACAGACCTATTTCAACTGATTTGTGATTTAATAAGTGTCTAATAAAACTATTTGCTTTATAACAACATCAAATACACTTACGTAAATTGCTGTAAAGTCGTCTTCTTATTTCGGAGTTTTCTGGTTATCACTGCAGTATATAAAAGTGCAGAAAGTGCATTTTAAGCATGTATCTCACATTTCACGTTTACATACACAACATTGAATGTTGTTATTCAAAGATTTTTTTGTCGAATGTAACAAAATATAGCATTTGAATAGAATACAAAATACAGTGATTGCAAGAAACGAAGATCTCCTTGTTCAACGTTTTAATTTAGATTTTTATCTGTTTCTTCCAAAATCAAAAATGTAACTTGTTTTTGTTATTCAACACCACAACCAAATCCCCCCCCCCCCTAGCTTCTCGTCTACCTAATTCCCATGGATAATTTTCCCACTCCAATAGTTTAAATGTATTATCGTTCTTCTTTCCCCATGAAAATATTTATTTAAATCACGTGCCCCCCCCCCTTCCAATGGAATCAGAATCTTTAATCTTTGGCATAATAATCCCCCCCCCTAATCCCCCTTATTCGGAGAATTCTTGATTACAAAAACTAGGTGTATGATGTGATATTATATCAACATTTGAAATATTTATTGTTTTTATTGATTTTACAATTGAAAAAGGGGGGCATATACCCCAATCACAACAGTCCCATCAAAACCTTCACGTGAGCGAAATCAATTTTTAAGATATCATTGTTTTTTTACCTAAAACTGATCATTTCAAAGTGTGGTTTCTCATTTAAAAAATATATAAGACAAAACGTAAAAGATTTCGGAAACCTTTTTGATACACCTTTGCATATAAATGATAAAAATATAATTAGTATATGTCAAAGCTTTATTTATTTTATTCTTTGAGTGAAAGTGCAAGGTATTCTTTAAGAATTAATGTGTTGATTAATGTATTTATATATTTTTGACGATATATAGAACCAATTTTTTTTAAATGACACACTTTTGAGCAGGTCTTTTTATGATATAGTATAGGAAAAAACGTTTCCGACCATCAAACTAAGCTGTAATACAAGGGATAAGGGTTACATACAAAGGATGAGACTTCAGAAGTTCAGAGACGACTGTTCGGAATTTATTCAGTCTTTTCCTTAATACCATCTAAAACTTACTGAAATGAAATTCGTAAGCCTATACCCCCTTTCATTTTTCGCGAACACTCCCTTCAAAGGAAGAATAATTAATTCAACCTTGGAATCATCAAATTCAAAGACTTCAAAGTTTTTTTTACTTTATGGGTCCTTAAATGTTTTCCTTGCTAATTAAAAATTCACAAAACCTCTCCTTCAC